ATTTATATAATTATTAAAAGAATATTAATACTTTATTAATTAATAATAATATAAAGTTAATTAATTTATATATTTATAATCTATATTAAAAATTAAAAACATAAAAAATATAATAACAAAATATTATAAAAGTTGAAGGGTCAAAACTGAAAATATCAAAAGGTTAAAAGTGAAAAATAATATATAGGAGGGGGTATAGAAAATGTAAGAGTAAGAGTGTAGGAGGGGGTGGGGTTAGAAAACCCCGCTTATAATTCAATGCTCAAACCTACCAAAATTGTATTTTAGGTCTATAAAAAGCACGGAGGGATCTCCACATGAACTCGTCCTAATTAATCGATCATATCCTTCTCCCTCTCAACAGAGAATATATATATTCTTAATTTTAATAAGCTGAAAATGAAAGATATAACATGGGTGATGACACTTAACCTAGCAATGCATATGATGTTGATGTTACAGTCTAGTGTGAATATTATCACATGCAATGCACGTGCCATGGGGAGTGCCCAGAAGCTAAGGGTTGTAGCATCTGAGTATAATGTTACATGCATTCTGGTTTTTGGTGATTCAAGTGTTGATCCTGGTAACAACAACGATCTTCCAGACACATGGCATAAAGGCAACTTCTTGCCTTATGGCTTTGATTTTGGTCATTCCATCCCAACTGGAAGGTTCACCAATGGCAGACTCTCCACTGATTTCATTGGTAATTAATCAACTTTAACTTTAACATTGATATATATATATATATATATATATATATATACACACAGAGATATTTATACATACATATAATGCTTAATTTTGTACTGTAATTAGATTTCCATTCTAATGCAATTTTCTTTGGACTTAATTTGTTGTTTTTGTGCATGTGAACGCATATATATATGCATGCAGCTGCTGGTTTAGGTTACAAAAACATAATAAAAGCATATCTGGATCGAGATCTGAAGGAAGAAGACTTGTTGCATGGTGTTAGTTTTGCATCAGGTGGTTCTGGTTATGATGATTTCACTGCTAACATCACTGTAAGTGTATATATACATAGATCTGCGCATATATATATATATATATATATATATATATATATATATATATATATTAGGTGGAGGTTCAAACGAGAACACCTCCATTTTACGAGAATGCGAAAACATCTTTATCTAATTAATTAATTAATTAATTAATTAAGAGGGTTTCCATGTGACCTTAAAGGGATTAGATTCAAGAAAATGATATGCTATGACGTTCGTTGCACTAAATGAAAATTAAGACACTGAGATTAATCGGCTCGTATTACGGGTTGGATATCCAGGTTAATTAAAAAAAAGATATCGTCGTTAATTTCTTAATGCATTGTACCCATTTTAAAAATACTTATAGATGAAATCCTACCTTCATTGGTTGATGTTAATACAACCCTAACAACAATCATGGATGTAAACACAATATTTGAATGTTATATGAGATATACCGGTATCGTTTGGTTTGAATTATTGCTCTCTGAATGGGATGTTAATGACAATGGTGAAGGTTTAAATAATAAAGACGAAACGATTGAAAATGTAATGAATCATTGATAAACCTGAATTTTTGTATTTAAAAGTACATATGTAAATCCACATTCGTTTACCTTTTTTTACACCAATTATTCACATGTGAATATACATACGTAAACTCACATTAATTTTCTTTTGACCAATGATTCGTAGGTGAATCATTTATTCATACGTTGCCAACCTTTTTACTTTATTTATTTGAAGCTCTCGGTAATTACAGTTAGACATGTGTGTTATAATAATTATTATAAAACGAACGAATTGTTGTCGAAACTAATCATTGGTTTTGTTTTGTTAATGTAGAATGTTATATCTCTTGGAAAGCAATTAGAGTATTTTAAGGAGTATAAGGTTCGGATTGAAAAGGTTGCTGGAAAAGAAGGTGGTCATAAGATCGTGGAGGATGCTTTGTTCATCTTGAGCATGGGTACAAATGACTTTTTACAAAACTATTACGTTGATCCGACTCGATCCCACACCTTTACCATCGCCCAATACCAACGATACTTGATCAATTGCATGGAAACTTACATTAAGGTAATTAAACCATATATAGTGTATATAGAGAGAAAGATGGGTGAATTATTATACAACTCTTTACATTTGTACAACCATTACAACTCAATCTCAATCGTCCATTTAATTTGATGAATATGTGATTTCATAGAAGTTTTGATTGTTTTCTAATATAAAGTATTGATCATAATTAATGAACCCTATTCATCTTCCATAAATATTCAAATCATAATAAATGAACTCCTATCATTTCTATAAATATCTCAATTAATTGAGTTGCATTGGTTGTACAAATGGATATGGTTGCATTTGAAATATACCATATATATATATATATATATATATATATATATATAGGGTTGACGTGAGACCGACTTGTTTTCGTGAGACCCGTGATACCACTTTTTTACATTTGAAACTTCACGGCAAAATGAAGGTAACTTTCACAGTGTTTTTGCTGTGAAGATTCAACTTTTTTTTACCTTCACCGCGTTTTGCTGTGAAGTTTCAAGTGTAAAAAAGTGGTCTCACGCATCTCACGAAAACAAACTGGTCTCACATTATCTCACACACACACACACACACACACATATATATATATATATATATATATATATATATTTATACATATGTCTATGAATAGATATAGATATATATGAGTTCAAATCAGAACAATGCCAAAATAAGCGAACATGAGAATGACCAATAACAAGTGATACGGTGTGACTTTGGCTACGACCTAGTCGCGGGTCAAGTCACCTACTCATGTTGACCATGTTGTTGTGTAATCTCAGTGTAAATTCACATGTAATTTGATCGTTCTTATATTCTCTTTTTACTATATTTTCGCTTAAACCTCTTTCTCCCTCTCTATATAAAAGACCTCTAGCATTCTATTTTTAGCAAAAGAAAATATGTAACAACTCAAAGGGAAAATTCATTGGTTTTCCATAAAGGAGCTAGGGTTTTTGTTTATGTGTAAACACACTATTAGATGGTTTCATCGACGGATTTTTTCGTTGCAAATTTCCGATAGAACAGAAACAGTCAACCTTTCATTTACTTTTGTTACAAATTCGGGTATTTTTAGAAAAAAAATATTTAAATTCTAAGTATTAAAATCCATTACAAATTCACCATTAATTTTTTAATTTTGACGAATTTACAAAAATAATTAATTATTCACTGAGGGCTTTGTGGCGGCCCAGTCCGTCGGTAAAAGTCTCGAATTTAGTAAGCACATAATTTGATTTTTTTTAATTTGGAATCACTAAGCTATAACAAAATCAGATTTACCAATATGTCTAAGGGGCTATTTACTTGCAGCTTAATTAGGTTTATTGGTCTATCTGGCTTATTCACACAACTCATTTGGGTTGTTTACTTATGGATTAATCGTACAAAACATGGCTTAATCGCATAGATAAAAATGGTGTGTTATCCCCATTCAGCCATAAAAATGACCTTATTTAAAGCACCGCCTCCTTCCCATATGAGATACCCCATCTTCGGTCTCTTTATGATTTTTTGTTTTGATGTTCAAATAATTAATATTGGGGGCTAAATCGGTCATTTATGTTATTCAGACTGTTGGTTCAGATAAAAAAAAAAGTAAACAACAACACCCATTTATCCAGACAGATAAATTTATCCGGACAAACAAATTTATCCATACAGGACTTAATAAATTTTTTGGTAAACAGCCCCTAAATGTCTTAATATATAAATTACACTTTAAAAGATGTACATTTATAAGATAAAACAATTGTGCAACATATGTTAATGTATTGAAATAAGTTTATGTGTGCGTCATATGAACTTAATTTTTAATATGATACATTTGAAAAATGTTTTATAAACATATCTTTTGCAACAATATCATATAAAAAACTAATAAAAAATGCATTCAGTATGAGTTAGGAGATTGGCATATCTTTTGCAACAATGTCATATCTTTAAGAGTAAGAATATATATATATATATATATATATATATTATATGAATTAATATTGTGTGTTTATATATATATATATATATATGTAGAAAATGCATTCAGTAGGAGTAAGGAGATTGGCAGTTGTTGGGATGGAACCATTCGGATGCATGCCTCTGATAAAGACATTAAAGAACAGTGTTAAATGCGATGAAGATATGAACCAAGTGGCTCTCTCTTTCAACATTTTGCTGAAGGCTAAGTTGTCTGCAATCCAGGCGACATTAGGGATCCGAACAGTTTTTGTTGACATTTATCAACTCATTCAAAACACCTTACGATACCCTTCAAGATATGGTTAGTACTTCTATATATATCTTCTGTTTTGTATGCATATACGTATATATATGTGTGTGTATATATGCATGTAGTTTTGGGATCATGTGAGACAATGCTGTTTTCATGACACACGATTATTACACTTGAAACTTCATACGAAAAATGTAACCTTCAAGTATAAAAAATCGTATCTCACGTGTTTAATGAAAATAACTTTGTCTCATGTGGACCCAACCCTATGTATATATATGTATGTATGTATGTATTTATACTGTATATTTATATCATCAGGTTCATATGAAGATAGTAACTAAACAAGAAGACACGAAAAAGACCGAATCAAATGTAATTTTACATTAACATCTCGTGTAAAACCACATGTGATTAATGCGATTTTGAGGTGGTGGCATATATATATTTATATCATCATGATCCAGGATTTTTGCCTAGTGAGGGAGATTTAAGGTGGATTAAAGGCCAGCAAAATCACTCGATGTGTTTTAGCAAATTCTACTGTTTTAAGGGATTTTTAAAGGTTTTTTTTGTTTATTTCGAGAGATTTTTAAGTTTTTTTGTCGATTTCGAAAAGCCTTTTTTTGATTTTTTGGTTAATTTGGAGAGACATTTTTGGTTGATTTCAAGGTATTGCTTTGGTTAGAGTGGAGCACATGTGAGAAATATTTGTTTTTAACCTAGGTAAAGAAAAGAATTTAATGGGGGCCATCCCCCCACCTTTTTAATGCTAAATCCATCCTGAATGGTGGGTGGTGGGTCAGGTCGTCCGCTCATCTTTGTGTTGAACGGATTTTGTAATTGCATGTAAAAGCAGATGTGATTTGATTATTTTTTTGTTCATATTCTCATTTGATCCTTCCAGTTCTCCCTCTATATATGTATATATACGGACAATTCATATAAAAACGTCTGAAAATTAGAAACTGCGAAAACTAAATTTGTATGTGTAATTGATTTGTTTTATAAATAAAACATATGTTAACATGCAATGTTCATACAATGTTGTTTTATAAATGAAATGACAAATAAAATTTTAAGTGTGAAAAGAACACAAAAAATACGTTTATACATGACACACATTCATACTCACAAATTCATGGATTTAGTTTTTGACACGTGTTGTTTCATTTATGAAACAATACAAGTATATGATTTTATATGGTATCTAATTTTTAGATGGTTTCTATACACATAATTTGCAGTATATGTGTGTGTGTGTATATATATATATATATAAATATAGGGGTCTAATCAAATGAGAACTAATTAGTTTGTGGTAATCGTGATAAAAATTATTTTCTAAACCTGCTTTTTTAATCTAATGGTTAAAAAATCATGGATCTTCAACTATCTTCAATTGATTGTTGACCAAAAACATGGATTTTCTACTACTCTTTTCCATTTATAACTTCTTAATTATGACATCATATCATAAACCCTAAAATTAAAAGTTAATTAAGCCATTGAAAGGTAAGTTCATGATCATGAATACAATAACTAGATATTCTTAATCTCTTGATTAGATCTTCTAATTTCACGATATATTCGTCATTAATTTGTCAGGTTTTACAGAAACTGAAAAGGGTTGTTGTGGATCTGGAACAACAGAATTCGGAATGACCTTAAAAGGGTTGAATACATGCCAAGATCATTCGAAATATATCTATTGGGATGCCGTTCATTTCACAGAGAACATGTACTATATCATCGCAGACGAAGCTGTTAAATCCATCATCACAAGTCTTTAATTACCAGCCGTGCATCGATCAATAGCTAGGCATGCGACAAAAGTCAGTTTTCTCTTACCACCCGTCTCACTGAGGTCTAAACTCGGTTATTTTCAATATGGTTTAATCTAGTCCATTGCAGTAATGGACATGTTGTTCGAATTCAGGTTCTTTTAATTAATTCTCTCTATTTTGTGCTATCGAGACATGTGCATCTTTGATGTTTACATCTGGAAAATGTTCAATAAAAAAACAGTAACATGTTAAACTTTTATGACAAGTGATTTCTCATTCTATTTGATTATGTTGTGTATGTGTATTCTTTTTAAATGATGATGAATTGATCAAAAATTTATACCAAAAATTATTTTGACAAGTTTTCTTGAAATGATGGTCAAAACATCAATTTATCTATACTATATTATAAAACATTTGACAAAAACTCTTAAAAACCATCTTTTATACATGAAGTACTGTTTATTGATGTATATTACTTAAAATTCAAAATTACAAGTAAATTGTGCATAAGTACAATTTATTAAGCTTCATATTTGAATTCGTGTAACTAACTGTAGATGAATGTAATCAAATAGAAGATAAAATTCTCATTTAAAATATAATTAGGATAATTATTGAGTTCTAACAGAATATTTAGTTATTATCTTTATAAAAGTTATATTATTAAACCAAAACAAATTACTTCTTCATTAAACGTAAATTAAATTATAATAAAAAATTGAATTAAAGAAATTACACAAAAAATAATAACCGTTATGTATTTTTTAAAATTTTTCTGGTATCTTCAAATTTATATTTTAGAAAATAAAACATTATTGTTTGCTCAAAACCACATAAATTCATATTATAATATCGATAGAGACCAAAAAAATAAAATGAAACATTAAAATCGAGATGTGTCTCGTTGCATTGCACGAGTACCTTTCTAGTAATATAAGAAACAAGTAACATTGAAAGGCTTGCAAATGTCTAGATTCATCATCCAACATCCGACAGACATAAGGAGCTTGTCCGTTTTTGAAATTTCTCCATTGAACGGGAAGTGATACAGATTGAAAAATCTGATTTTTGTCAGTCGCGAAAGTTCAAATTCCGGAAAGGAAAGTGATCCAGACTGAAACATCTGCATTTAAGCCCGAACACAATTCCGGATTTGATTGAGACACTTTCAAACGAATGTCGTTAATCATTGTTTATAACATGATAACTTGGGGTTTGATTGGATGTTGAGTTTTCTACGGCGTGTTTTTTTTAAAAGATAAGTTTTTCGAATTTTTAAGAGGCACTCATCCTAAGATAACTTATTGTCACTGTACGTTTTTTACTGCATTGTATTCTTTGATATACTCGATACATAACGAGATTGATCATTCAATTAAGTTCATCTAAGATTGAAACATTCTGCCACAAACGGTTTCAGTGATTGCAATTCAAACAAATACGGATTCATCAAAAATTGATCATTCAAAACCAAACCAAATATGTCACAAATGGTTTTGATAGAAGAAGTCATATGTTTATGCATTAAAATCAAAATAAAACTGGAAACATCTGCGGTTTCACTTTTTGAACGATTTCAGTAATTGTTTAACAAAATATGTTTGCTCGAACATGAATCTTCTTTTGCGGTCAAATATATTGCAAAAAATATGAACGAATAAGAAAGAAATATCCCAAAAACCAGATTTTTTGTTCTTCCTCTCCCAAATGATCCCCCACTTTTTCCGAAGAATAAACTACAGATTTGGTCCATGTGGTTGGTCAAAAGCAACATTTTCTGCTCATGCAGTTTTGAAATTACAAGATGGTTATTCTAGTTTGTAAAAACATTCGGATTTGATTCCTTCCTTTAATGACCGTTGAAAAAATGAGGGGCATTTTCGTCCTGTTTTTTATTTTGGTTTTTTACTCAATAAAAAACAGATTGACCAAAATCATAAAATCGATTTTGATTGGGTAAAAGACAACAAAATCAGTAGAAGGATGAAACTAATCCTCACTGAATATTTTTTTTAACGGTCATTAGAGGAGGGGAATCAAATCCAGACGTTTCTACAAACCATGGTGGCATTCTTGTAATTTTAAAACTATAGAGATGGAAAATGTTATTTACGACAAACCACAAGGACCAAATTTGTAGTTTACACTTCTTCAAATGAACAACGGGCCTGAACGAAATGGGCCGCCTTCCATGAACTGGACCTGAAATTGTTCTTATTACTCGGCTTCTAAGCCTTCTACTACCTATACTTATAATTAGAAGGGTCATCGTATAATGCAGCAAGTCTCGATTTTAATGTTTTGTTTTATTTTTTTTATCAATAACAATGCTATAATACGATTTTATATGATTTTTTAAGAAAAAAAAGTAATATTTTTATTTTTGAATAAAATATAAATTTGAAGATATCATAAAAAAATTAAAAAATATATCGATATTAGTGTCAAATTAACTATTCAAAAAGTTCTCGGTTATTTATGTAATTTTTTTAATTCATTTTTTTTATTATAATTTAATTTAAGTTTCATAACAAAGTAAATTATTTTTTGGTTTAATAATATAATTTTTATAAAGATAATAATTAAGTATTATGTTAGAACTCAATAATTATCCTAATTATATTTTAGATCTTTTATATTTAAAATGAGATGTCTATCATATATTTGATTATGTTTATTTATAATTAGTTACACGAATTCAAACATGTAGCTTTAATATAACTTGTACGTACTTACACAATCTTCTTATAATCTTGAATTTCAAGTAATATGTATTAATAAACAATACTTTATGCATAAAAAAATGAGTTTTAAAAGTTTTTGTCAAATGATTTATAATATAGTATATATAATATGAGAAGATATTTTTATTGTTTCTTATCAGCATCCAATTCCCACTAGGGCTGCAAAAAGAATATAACAAACACGGACATAGATTTGTTCATGTTCATTTATTGAGAGGTACCTGGTGAGGCCCAAAGGGATGGGCAATCGAGAGCTACTGACCTTAGCATATGATCTGGCTGTTTCCCTCTCGACTTTGGATCTTAGCACCCAAAAAGTTCACCCGTTGGTCTACTTACCTTCGGGCTTAAGACCCGACATTGATGACCGAACGGAGATCAATGAGATAAGGGTTGACCTTTAAAGGAAGTTTAACTAAACCGGACAAAGGAACGAACATGAACGGTAAATGAAAGGAATTTTTTATGTTCATGTTCATTCAATAAAAAAATGTGCTTATTTGTGTTATGTTCGTTAAGATGCTAAACGAACATAAGGGAAAGAACATGAACAAACAAACAAACACAATGCACTAAAAGCAACCTCCATTACTCATCATTTTTGTTCTTACAGAATAACATAACGAAATGAAAGACCGGATAAACAAGTGAGATAAAAAAGGAATTCTAAAAATTTAATGATTTTACATATTAATGTCATAATATATAAATATATTTATACAGATAAACAAATGTAAACGAACATAAATGAACGAACATAAATGAACGAACATTCACTAACGTAAATGAACGAACGAGACAATTGTTCATTTTCATTTAATTAACTAAACGAACAAAATAATATGTTTATGTTTGTTCATTTATTACATCAACGAACTTTCTACCGTCCAGTTCGTAAAAGGTTTTCCGAACATTCGGCTCATTTACAACGCTAATTCCCACCGTATTATCTGAAAGAGAATGGAAAACTAAATGAAAATCACATATACAATTCATAGAAATTTAGGCATATGATTAATGTATCAAATAATAAGTAATTGTGTATGTTTTATCAGTTAAATAATGAGTGAATTACGTTTTTCGTTCTCATGGTTTGGTATTTTTAACATATCTCATCTCATCCTTATCTAAATAATTTAATGAATTAGTGTTTATTAGAAGGGTACTCGTACAATGTAGTGAGACAAATTTCGATTTTAATATTTAGTTTTTATTCTTTGTTTCTATTGATATAATACAATTTTATGTGGTTTTGAGAAAACGATAATGTTTTTATTTTTTAATAAAATATAAATTTGAAAATACTATAAAATTTTGAAAAAAATATATCGATATCAATATCAAATTAACCTTTTTAAAAGTTCTTGTGTTTTGATGTAATTTTCTTAATTCAAAATTTTTAATTATAATTTAATTTAGGTTTAATAACAAAAAAATTTAATTTAGGTTTAATAATATAATTTTTTTATAAAGATAATAACTAAAGTATTCTGTTAGAACTCAATGATTATCCTAATTATATTTTGGATTTTTTATATTTAAAATGAGATGTTTATCCAATATTTGATTATGTTTATCTACAGTTAGTTACACGAATTCAAATACAGAACTTTAATAAGTTGTACTTATGAACAATTTACTTGTAATCTTAAAATTTAAGTAACATGCATCAATAGACAGTACTTCGTGCATAAAAAATAGTTTTTAAGATTTTTTGTTAAATATTTTATAATATAGTATAGATAGTTGCATTTTTAACGAGATGAGACCCTGATGTAATAATATCCGATTTGTTAATTTATTTAGAAACCAGCTCGTTAAAAAGTTTACAACATAGAGACCCGACTCGTTAAAAAAATGCAATCATGGAGACCCAAAATGTTACTACAAGAGCATGTTTCGTTAATTTTTCAAAATAAATACTTGATCAATTAAAAACATCCAACCGCAAAACCAAAAAAGTAATTCATAACCACAAGGGTGGTGTTCGATTGATTTGAGCTTAAGTCCAAAGATCAAAAGTGTCTAGAGGTCTCAGGTTCAAATTCAAAGAGAAATAAAAATCCCCTTGTGACACGGAGGTTCAAATACGGTGACTCTGGATTACCCACAAAGCTAGTGGTCGTTCTAAGATTAGTCGGCTCGCATAACGGATTGAATATCCAAGTTAATAAAAAAAATGTAATTCACTGTAGGATGAATCACATATTTGATCCCAACGGTTTGGTAAAGATTATGAAACTGATGTTTGAACGCCATTTATTACTGAAGAATCGTCAACATTTGCATTTTATTTTAAATTTGATCTCTCACCCTAGTTTTAATTCGAATATAAAGGGGTGTTTGGTATTGCTTATAAAAACAACTTATTGACTTATTCTGATGTGACACCGGTAATAAACACTTTTGAGTGTTTGGATAAATAGCTTATACCGGTG